TTTTCTGGGTTTGTTCAGTTCAAATAAAAGTTTCAGTCTGCATTTTCTTTTCCATTCCAAAATATCATTCACTAGACTGTCTTATCATAATCCCATGCATATTCTGATTTTTCTGATTTTACCCCTATTCCCAGCAGAATAGAAGTATAACAAAAATCAGCACCAGTGGCAAGTATCCCAGGGAATTGATGTTAAGTTCCGGGTGTAGTAAATCTGAAGAAGATCGAGACATCCGGTTCTATTCTATCAATGGGAACCCAGGGGAGAAACACGGTGCAAGTAGTACCTCACCCAGTCCCCGTTTCTAGATGAGAGAACATTTTTAGTACTATGTGATGAACCCTCAGACAGAGCGGTCTTAATTATCATTCCAATCATTAACTCAGATAAGAGTAAGAGGAAAACCTACATATCCCTTGTACAAACCCGGTCATACACATTACAACTTTCCTAGTTTTTAACGAAAGAAGAAATTCGGAGTATATTTTGATAATACACGTCCCTACATCATGGGATCATGATATAAATACATGGACTTGCATGCGTGTGTGCTAAGTTATGATTGGTTAGTTTTCAGATTGTTGTGTAACTTTCTACATTTTCAGTCATATTCTTTGAAATCTATTGTGAAGCTCTTTGTTATAGCACACTATGATACAATGTATATGAAAATTTTCTAAATAACATATATGAATGCACATGTACTTAATCTGATTGGCTTATACTAATTTGTTTATATGTGAGTTTTTATTTTCATAAAATACTTTGGAAAATGAAATATATGGAGATAACGAACAGTATTCGAGCTCAAAAGTCCATTAAACATTACAAAATAGGAGCAGAGCAAACACGGGCCTCCAAAACATCAGAGGTTGGATCAAGTGCCATGGAGGAGTGAGCATCCCCTGCCGACCGGTCACACCCGTCGTGTGCTCCTTGTCATGATCGGGAAATAACGGAAAAATCCGCCGACAATTCAGTGTGTAAATAATGGCCTAACAATTAGTATGAAGAACGTCAGTCAGCATTTGACTCAATGATAAATTGTATTTGCTGACAAGGTCATTGTATCGACCAAAGAACTTACGAAATGATGACTTTAAACGAGACAGCTGATATTCTTGTTTCATCAACTTGTTTGTCAATAATTTACCTCGTTTTAGAAATTGTACATACGTAGAGCATGCTCTTGCGTATCGAATCAACTGAGGGATATAAACCCCGTATGCAGGTGATGAATGTATATTGCTGTATAAGTAAGGGAAGTTGACGATTGAAAAGTTAAAGTCATTACGTTTATCATAAAGCTTGATTGTTAGATTACCATAAACGTCTTTTTTTTTAGTAAAATATCCAAATATGAAACAGATGTATCAGACTCTGTGGTATCTTTTATCTCAAGCTCACCGGGATATATCGTATCGACATAAGAATGGAAATAACCATTTTTTAATCAATTTGACATTACGTCGTCGATATATCTAAATGTCGAGTTGAAGGCCACAGCAAGTGTTTTCTTCTTTTCACGTATAAGATTTTGGACAAATTCTGCTTCATATGAATACAAAAAAAAAAAAAAAAGATTAAAAAAAAAAAAATAAATAAATTCTACAACTCTATGATACAAATATTTTGCCTAACTCAATGAAGCTTATAGGGAATTGGGCACCAAAAGAGAAAGGGAAGCGTTTTGGGAACATCTGTAACGGTAACGGTAACTGTAACAATTAGAACTACATGTAGTTATTTTAATAATACTTTTTATTTGAATCAAACTTTAGCACAAAAAGAAAATTAATGCAATCGTTTCGATTATTTAATAATTTCCCTTTCTTTTTGTCCCATAATGAGCTGTCTTGTAAGGATTTTGTCTATTCTGTGACGCCCCCTTCCCTTAAAAAAGTGTATTACTTATCATGCTTATACATTCTGTAGATATCAATTGGTTTAGTCAGGCAAACTTTTTGAAAAACTAATACTTGTATTGCTTTTAAGGTAGTACACAACATCCATGAAATCTGTTTTAGAGCATATCTTATAAAGTACACCAGAAAAAAATTTCACTACAATGTCAATAAAGATCTTTGTAAGAAAAATAATAAGCTTTGACATGTTTTCACCATATTTTGAAGAAAAATTAGAGACATCCATATATTGGTCAATCGGGTGCCTACATTTTGGATCGTGTTTATGCCATCTACATGCCATATGACTTTCTGTTTTTCAATGCAAAGTAACTTTTGATCCATTTATAGTAGAGACCTGGTATAAGACATATTTATAAAGAGTCTCCATTCTTTTTGTACAATAAAGGTTAATGTCATATTAAGAGGTCAAAGGTCAAATATAGTGACGTCATCTACTGAATCTTTACATTTTCCTTTGCATTTGATTTCAAAATCGCAAAATATCTGAAACCACTGGTTCAAATTTCCTCATTTTGATATATATTTTATTTTGGGTTCCATTTCAATTATTCTGTTGATTTTTTGTAAAAATTCAATCATGCATTTTCTTTAAAGAGGACTTTATGTAATACATGTTGTTCATATACTATTAAGATCCAAATATACCTTTGTCATTTATTGAAAATGACAATGAATATTAACAATTAATAAATGCGGAGATCCAAAAACCTTATACAAATATTCTTTTACATAACAAAGTAAAGTTGTATAATGATCAATGTCAAAATAATGTACGAAATAACAGAACAAATTGTAAAACATATATACATTACAAGCAAAAAGTTGGCGTTCAAAAATAAAACAGAAGCCCACAAAAAGCAAACAAAGTTTGCAAAAAATGTGTGGCATATTTACAAGCGAATTTTCAATTCCCGGACTATGTCTATTCTATTTTACATCACATTTTACCCAAATATACCGATATCAAAATATTTTACTAAATTTTATTACAAAAAGCTTGCCTTTATAAACAACATCACACACGTTTTCAATATATCAATTGATTATTTTTAACTATGCACATATCAGGTCTGATTTCACAATCTTCTTACAAGGGGTCTGATAGGCCATATTTCAAACTATGTAGGCAAAAAATGAATGGTTGAATTTCTTTTATATTATATATAAGAGAGATTTTGTATTCTAAAATAAAATATCAAGGTTTGAACTAAATTGAATTTGAGGAAAAATTTGACCTATCTATTGTGTACTACCTTAAAAGGACCCTCTATACACTGAATGTAACTGTTTTAAGATAATGAGAAAATTACATTGTATTGAGGTCTTAATATCTAGCTTACCTATATAATTGTCAACAAAGGGTATAAAGCATTTACCCGCAGGAAAAAATGTTTAAAGACAGTAGTGCACTGCTGAACAGAAATCACTGTTGTTAAAATACGTGAACAATATGTGAAAATACGTGTAAATAAAGTGTTCAACTGTTCAATCCATTTATCTTGGTCTATTTAAATGTTAAGAATATTCATTTGATTACAAATGAAAAAGGTGATCGATTAAAAAATAGATAAACAATACAAATATATGAAGATACAAATAAAATACGGACCCGTGGAAATTCCAGAGGCGAGATAGGTGCCTAGGAGAGAAAGCATCTCCGGTCACACACGCCGTGAGCCCTACGAATTGATCAGGTAGACGGAGCATTCAGTAGTCAAATTCAGTATAAAAACAAAGGCCTACATGTAACAATTGGTGTGAAGCGGGTCAGCCAAAAAACGACTGAATGATAAATTATATTTGCGAAGAAGGTCATTGAAACGACCTTTGAATTTACGAAATGCTGACTTTAAACGAAATCTCTGTAACATCAACTTATTTAACATTAGCCTGCTTCGGTTTATAAACCGATCGTACTCAGAGCATACTCTTGAGCATCGAAAAGCTGGGAAATGTAAACACCATAAAGTTGACGATGGAAAAGCGGAAGTCATCTCCTTGTCATAAAATTTAGTTGTTGGTCTATCGTCTATAGTCAGTAAAACATCCAAATATGAAGCAGATGTGGCAGACTCTGTGGTGTCTTCTATTTCAAGTTCGACATGCCACAACAAGTGTTTTCTTATTCTCATGTAGAAGTTTTTGAATAAATTCTGCTTCATAGGAATGTAAAAACAGGCTGGCAAATAAAGGAGCACGATTAGTGGCAATCGCAATTACAACAGTTTGTTGAAGACTACATACATGTTGTGAATGAAAAACTCTAGCATCCTTTTAATATCAACTTCAGAGTACTTTTGTGTAAAATCAGAGTGATTTTTACTCTCTGTAAAAATCAGAGTGATTTTTAACAAAGTAATTTTGTTGATGACTATTCACAAAATACGAAGTAATGCACGGTAAATTTCAATTAATTTTAATTTAGATCATATGGCAGAACACTCTTACTACATAAAAATACAGCAGAATCAGACATCTTTAGTGTGTAGAAGTATAGAGGGTTCTTAATAACATTTCTTATTTTTTAACATGCGTAATATATTGAAAAACTGTTGATAAATCCACCCAACATCTCATGGAAAAACAAAAATAAACTAGGTAATTACTAAAATGTTAATTTTCTTAACCAACAAAACGAATGAACGCATTTGAAAGGAACTACAGTTTAACACGGCTGTGCATAAACAATAGGCATCTGTAACTATACCGACTCCGTTAAATCTACATGTGATCAATGCGGTGACTCTCCCTTACTCATGCTCCGATAGCATCTTGCAGCAATAATTACCGTGTCACATGCGTTTTGTCACTGCTATTTTGTAAATATACCCTTTTCTGTAATAAATTAAAGATTTTAATTGGCTTTTGTTTGAACAATCAAAATTAAATAAACTCAGTCAAGTAGTAAATCGCCCGCCATGATGTCTACATTGTTATAGGGACGTGCGGGTAATGTAATATCCGTTGCTATCAGTGGGCAGAGCGTGGAAGCGTGAATAACACTTTATTTGTCAGAAAGTGTGACCTTCATGCACTGTTTGCTCAAAATCTTGACAAACTATTTAGGACAGCAAACAGTGATGAAATCCAAAACTCAAATAATATTTTCAATTGATCAGTAGTTAACTGGATGTTGAACAGTATTTCACTTTTGGGTACGTATATTTGAACTGTTCGCATAAATTTATGTACTTTCAAATTTATGTTAAAGATATTGCTTGACGTATAAAGTGAGTATATGAAAATGTGTGAATAAGAAAAGTTGTTCATATCTAACTTTGAATGCATAATTTATCCTTAGTGCACAAGAATTAGTGCACAAGTGGCAAGGCTTTGCTATATATGTATAATGTTATAATTTTCCAGAGCAGTATATATATATATATATATATATATATATATATATATATATATATATATATATATATATATATATATATATATATATATGATTCTAAAATTAATATTAATCCTTATTAAAGAATCAAAATTAAATCCTGCAGGTAAAACAGTATGGTTAACTCTGAGACTTGGTTTGAAGCTGAACATGACTCGTAAATAGGCATACGGCATATCACTTTTCCTATCTCCGATATCAGCACTGGGGTATATAAACCTTTGGCATTCGTTACATCCGATTAGTTTTACCTTGTCGTTGCTGCGTTAGTACTATATATCTTAAAAGTTGTCAGATAAAAAGGAATAGTTATCAGAAGAAATAATCATATTTCTTATGCAAAATATTGATATTTATCACCTCCTTTGTTTTGCATGCAACTTTTTATTATTTAATGCATTTTCCTTCTATGGACTTTGTTCTGCGTTTCTATGCTACTGGATCAGTCCAGTTGTCCACCAAAAATGTTTTGCACTACTTTTATGGTTAAGGAATCTGACACCATTTATGTCCAATAACTTGCACCTATGAAAATATTTCTTTCACTTTATTATACAATGTTTTAAAAACATTATATTATTCTTATTTTTTTTCTTACCCTATTTAGAGACATAAATAACTATCATTTGTGTGTCTGCCCTATTCAATCATTATGACACGACCCCTACATTAGATGGAAACGTTCTTCACTTTATACATACGTATACTATAGATCGATACTGATTTCTGCAGTCAGGCTATTACTTATTATAAACAAGAGTTGAGTCTTGGCATATTTCTCGTTTAAATTAGCTATCTTGCAAAGAATTCGAAGTCACTTTACGATTTTATTATCTTCTCTTTTCTCACTAAATAAAAATAATTATCCATGTATGAATGAAACCCCATTTTAAAGGTTATTTCCTTTTTAATGTCTAATTATCTCAAATGTTTTCAAGGAAATCAATATCTGAAATTTATGGACCCATGCTCCCCCCCCCCCCAAAGATTAAGAAAATAAGTCTATGTTTATATAAGTAAAATAAATAATTTTAGGCGCATGAAGTTTAAGTATTTATTCGAAGTTTCTCGATAATGTCCTGTAAAGTGATAAAAATTAACATAGATTTATAATTGTGATGGCAACAAGAATTTTGAACATCGTAGAAAATTTACGAAGTTTTAGAATGCATTTTAAAACTTTATAGTCACACACACACACACACATACACACACCCCTCACCCCCCCCCCCTCCCCACACACACACACACACACGCACACATTTCAGAAGAAGTGCGGGACCGGTCTTTCGGATGAGACTGTAGAATTTTAGAAATTCGATAATTGCATCATTAACAACCATAATAAATCCAGAAATATATACCAAGAAAAATTAGATCATCACAGCTTTAAGTTTCCCTCTCCTTTAACATAGTGGTTTGAAATTTCACTACCAAAATATGACCTTCATACTAATATTCGTCATACCTAGACCTGAACTTACTGAGGCAGAAACACTGAATGCACTTTACTGCAAATTACATAATATGGGTAAAGTTTTCGAAAGCTTGCTGGATAGCTCAACAAGTATCACAATAGGTTTGAATCTAAGACACGAGGTTACTCAGGAATGACACTGCTGAAAGCACTGTCTAGTAAGAAGTTGTGTTTGTAAGTTCCTAAATTATTCTTCGGTTTTGATTGCTGGTGAATAGTAATCGAATTTGTACCAGAAGAGTCTTTTTTATGAAGTGTACGAAGCATTTTACAGAAGTTAAAAATCTAATAGATTAGATACGTATATTTTAAGTGTATACATAACGACCAAAGGTTACTAAAATTTTGAAAGAGAACATTATGACCATTATACTTATTTTCAAAGAATAACATAACTTTTCATAATTATTGTAAAAGTGAACTCTTGATTACATTATATCTCTCAGTTGATTCGATACGCAAGAGCATGCTCTACGTATGAATAATTTCTAAAACGAGGTAAGTTATTGACAAACAAGTTGATGAAACAAGAATTTCAACAGTCTCATTTAAAGTCATCATTTCGTAAGTTCTATGGTCGATACAATAACCTTGTCAGCAAATACAATCTATCATTAAGTCATATGCTGACTGACGTTTCACACTTATTGTAAGGCCATTGTTTACACACTGAACTGTCGGCGGATTTTTCCGTTATTTCCCAATCATGACGTGGAGCACACCGCGGCGGATGAGACAGTCGACAGAGGATGCTTACTCCTCCATGGCACCTGATCCTACCTCTGATGCTTTAAGAGGTCCGCGTTCGCTCTGCTCCTGATTTGTATTGTTTCAATGGACCTTTGAGCTTGATTTCTGTTCGTTATCTGCATATTTCATTGACTTATTCATGATCTTTCGTTCTATTTGTAGAAAGTAGAATGGATGCAACTTATGTACTAGGATTATCCTTGTTACTGTCTTTTATGAAAGTGGATGGTCAGAATATTCTCGGTGATCCTTATCTAATGGAAAGATGTCCTCTGACAAACACAAAAGAACTAGAGCTTTTAATCAACTCTGCGGCCAGAAATGTGATAATTTCTCATCTTAACATGATGGAAACACAGATGAGCAAATACAAGGTGGAGTTGATTGATCTTAAAAACCAAATCACAGAGAAAATGAACAATTTATCCAATGATGGTACAGCGGAAGCTGCAAATAAAGGTACACCTTCAGAGCTCTAGAAGAAAGTGTGGCTTGGAAAGATTTTCGAGCAGAGTAAATCTACGAATAACAAACAAAGCATTTTTTTGTCATGTATATCATTACTGTGTTTGATTTTTTAGCAATAATCCAATTTTCGTTGTGTTTGCAAACATTCTTAGCAAAACATTCATGGGAGAATCGCAAAAAATAATATAACGCAAATTAAAAACAGCCGTGTTTATGAATATTTTCACAAAAATTCCTATACGCAGAAAAACCCCGTTTTACGGCATTCTATCATTCTATCAAACATATTTTTTTGTCACTGTCATATATTTCATTTGAACTACTAGTATATTGAAAAAGCAAATTTAATGAACAACTAATAAAACCATTTTCCTTTTAAATATAATGGTAGCATTTGTATGTTTGAATTTTCATTCAAGGATGTATAGAGATTGATTGTTTATTCTTTTTCGGTGATGTCTAATACTTTACTCTTAAAAAATACCCATTTCTGCACCTTGGAAATCATGCACCTCCTTGCCCAGGCAAATAGGTCTTAAACACATAAATATTCAAATGTGCACAGACATTATTTTTCGAATGTAATGGACTTCCTATATAGATTTTTCTACTCCATTGAACTCAGTTTGGAAACCCAGATGAAATATGTCATGTTTTGCTTAAAGTTAACGACCTACGAATCTTACAAATATATGTACTATAACCAAGAGGTAATCGAAATGTAAACGGAAGTTCTTAGTTCTTATGTACTCTTTAAAAAAAATTGTGGCAAGAATGTATGAGAAAAATCTTTACGATGTGAAAAAAATTATTATTTAAAGGATCGGGGTTTTAAGAAACATATTCTTCAAAAAGACAATGTTTTCTATACCACAATAAACAGTATGGCAAGTTTAAATTGGTTAAATAACTAGATACTCGTTGCAAGCAATGAGAGTTCTTGCGTCCAATCAACCATACTTATTTGTGATATTGTATGCATGCAAAATGTATTATCAATAACAATAGTTACTTGCTCTGCTCCTATTTTGTATTGTTTGATGTGACCGGTCTGCAGGGGATGCTCACTCCTCCATGGCACCTGATCCCACCTCTGATGTTTGGAGGTCCGTGTTTGATCTGCTCCTATTTTGTATTGTTTGATGGACTTTTGAGCCTGAATACTGTTCGTTATCTCCATATACACAGGTGACTCTCGATGGCTCGAACTCCGATCTCTCGAAGTTCTCGATCTCTCGAAGTGAACCTTCGGTCCCGTTTTTTCCTCTACATAACTAAGCAAATTTACTCCTGATCTCTCGAACTCCCGATCTCTCGAAGTTCTCTATCTCTCGAACCAAGACCTGGGTCCCGTTACACATATTTCATTGTTTTTTACTCTCTATCACTCGAAGTTTTGATTGCGCAAGTAATTTGATTACACGTCGATCAAGCGTAAACAGGTGACTCTCGTTGGCAAACATCATCACTTACTGTACCTTAGCTTTATTATACTTCTACAATAAGCAGATTGTGAACTAAATCCAGGTCCTAAAACTCCAAAATATCCATGTATGGTATGCACTAAAGCAGTCCGTTGGAATCAACAGGCAATAGCATGTGATAATTGTGAATGCTGGTACCATATAAAATGCATAGACATGGGAAGCCACATGTACCAAGCTTTTGCAAAGCCAGACGTTTCATGGATTTGTTGTCAATGTGGCCTTCCAAATTTTAGTACTTCCTTTTTTGAGTCTGCGGACATATCTACTTCTAATTTCTATGATTCATTATCTGACACTTCTATTTCCTCATTGAATATCGACATTGGCGAACCTGTCATTACATCATCACCAAAATGTCACCATAATACATCAAAAGCTAAAGCAGAGCCAATGAAAATACTTACAATTAATTTTCAAAGCATAAAGGCCAAACGTGTGGTATTCTGGAACCTTCTGGAATCATGCCAACCAGACATTGTATTGGGATGTGAGACTTGGTTAAAGCCAATTATCACAAACCAAGAAATTGTCCCATCTGGAAATGAAGTCTTCCGAAATGACAGAGCAGATGGATATGGTGGGGTACTAATAGCTGTTAAGTCAACTTACATAAGTAGCCAAGTGGATTTTGACCTCAACAGTGAGATTGTGGCAGTGCAAATTGAAGGGACAGACAAATCATCCAAACAGAGACTATTCCCATACTCAAATAATCTGCAATGATATCCGACGGATTACAGATTTATACAAATCTTCAACAATATGGATAGGTGGAGATGCAAACCTACCAGATATTAACTGGGAAAACGACACCATTTTTAACCATTGTTACCATTTTGGTAACAAATATCCAAAGGATATTAATGAGCATTTCATTGCCACAAAATCGGACACAGGACTGAACCAAATTATCAATTTTCCAACTAGAGACGAAGCAACTTTAGAAATTTTTCTAACAAATCGTCCTAATCTAGTTCACAGGTGTGTAGGTATACCAGGTATAAGTGACCATTACACAATTGCATATATAGAAACCCTCAGTAAAGCTAAATACCAGAAACCAGCACGCAGGAAGATATATATTTGGAAGAATGCAGATATCTCAAACCTCCGAACAGCTATGAGCCAGTTTGCTGAGGAATTCCATATCAAGTATTTAGAAACCACAGATGTAAACAGCCTATGAAACACCTTCACAGAAAAGTGTGCTACCTTAATGGAGAAACACGTACCATCAAAACTCACTAGTGAAAGGTTCAACCAAGTATTGATCAACAGGAAAGTGAAAAGACTATCAAAAAAGAAAAAGCGATGCTACAACAAAGCTAAGAGAAGCAGAAAACAACAGGATTGGGATGACTTTAAGAAAATTAAGAAAGAAACCCAGAGGAGATGTAGAGAAACATACAACTCCTACATCTCTAATATGCTTAGTGAGGATAATGCCAACAATCCAAAAAGGTTTTGGGGATTCATCAAAAGCAAGAGAATGGAAACATCCGGAGTGGCTCCATTACGTAAAGAGGGGATATTTTATAGTGACACCACTACTAAAGCCAACATTTTGAACGAACAGTTTACTTCAGTATTCACGCAAGAGGACAACTCCAACTTACCTGAGAAACCCAAGAGTCCTTACTCACCTGTCCCAGACATCACAGTCCATCAGGCCGGTGTCCTGAAGCTCTTACATAACATCAACCCATACAAGGCCACTGGTCCAGACAACATCCCAGGGAAATTCCTGAAAGAACTAGCAAATGAAATTTCACCTATACTCACCACCATATTCAATGTTTCAATACAGCAAGAAAAGATACCTGATCAGTGGAAAGAGGCACTTATAACACCATTATTTAAGAAAGGAGACAGAGGAAAGGCTTCTAATTATAGACCAGTCTCTCTAACATCTATCTGTTGCAAATTATTGGAACATATATTACACAGCAATATCATCACACATCTTGAGGCAAATGGAATATTATCGGATTACCAACATGGGTTTCGTAAACAAAGATCTTGTGAATCCCAGCTCATCATAACACTCCAGGAGCTAGCCGATGGATTGAATAGTGGAGACCAAATGGACTGTATCCTACTCGATTTCTCAAAAGCCTTTGACAAGGTGCCCCATCAAAGACTCCTGAGTAAATGCTACTATTATGGTATAAGAGGCAGGACATTAGAGTGGATTAATAATTTTCTGAATGGTCGTACTCAGAAGGTCATCCTAGAAGAGAAGTCATCAAGAATATCAGAAGTCACATCAGGGGTGCCGCAGGGAACGGTGCTTGGCCCACTTCTCTTCCTAATTTACATCAACGATCTTCCAGAAAAAGTAACATCAACAGCCCGTCTTTTTGTTGATGACTGCTTACTTTACAGAAAGATCAGTAAAGAAGAAGACACCAACTACATCCAACAAGACCTTGACAGACTGCAGTCATGGGAAAATGATTGGTTAATGTCATTCAACCCAGATAAATGTGAAGTGCTGCATGTGACCAACAAAAGGAAACCTATAATAAGAAACTACACCATCCATGGAAAGAACCTAGCCACAGTAAAGTCTGCAAAATATCTAGGTCTTAACATCAGTGGCAACTTGTCATGGAATCAGCACATCGGAACAATTACAAAGAAAGCAAACAACATCAATGCTTTTCTGAGACGCAACATCAGCACATGCCCTAGCACTATCAAGGCGCAGTGCTATACCACCTTAGTGAGACCAATAGTGGAGTATGCTTCAATCATATGGGACCCAGTAACACAGAAAAACATCTATGAACTGGAAATGGTGCAAAGGAGAGCAGCACGCTTTGTTACTGGAAATTACAGAACAACTAGCAGTGTGACCAGGATGCTTGAAGATCTGCAATGGCCAATACTACAAGAGCGCAGACATAAAGCAAAGGTCATCATGCTTTACCGTATTGTTCACCATCTTGTTGCAATACCATCACAAAACTACTTTGTACCAAGGGGACCTAACTTAACAACACGGGGTCATAACATCAGGTTCCTGCTCCCTTATTCCAGAATTCAGGGTCATCAGCAGTCCTTTTTTCCATCTGCCATAACACTGTGGAACAATCTACCATCTACTGCTGTCAACTCCTCTAGCCTGGAGGGTTTCAAGAACAGCATTGGAGCAATCAGAATGACCTAATTCCAACATTTTTAATTGTAAACAGTACCAGAATGGTTTTTATGTACTGTAAATAGACCGTTGTTTCCCTTTGGGCAAGTGTACATAGTGACAATCACGACATTACACCAGAAGGTGGCTTGTGATTTAAAGGAAGAAGAAGAAGAAAATTAATTCAGCTTGGACTTATCTGGATAACATTGGACGCCTTGGGCTGGGAAGGACGGGTTAATTGGATGTTTACATAGATGATACTACACCTGTGAGTCGTCCGAGTGTTGATTAAATTAACTGGTTAATTGGTAAATTATAAACAAATCGCTTCACAACTTATTTTGACTGGACGAGACGATAATTTTGAGAAAATAATTTAGGGACGTGTCAGTAATTTTCCATAGATTAGGAACTTAATATTATTAGAGTTTACACAATCCCAGTTTGGCAAACATTGCACAAGAAATCCCATCTCAAGAATTGTTTACCGATTACGAGCAATCTTGTGAAGGACCGATCAAGCCCGCGCACGGGGGTTAGCAAAATCAACAATTGCTATTCAGGTTTCGTGTAATCAAGAAATGAGAACAAATAAATATTTAAACTTAAGTTAATCATTTCATTTATTCAAAACACAATCATTGCTGTTGAAATCAAGTGAATTACAGTCCCTGAAACGTTCTACTTTCCCACTTGAACGGTGAGCGAACGCTGAACGA